TTCCTCATCCCCGTAGAGAAACTCACTAATGAGCGAATGGTTGAATTTCAAAACTTACACCCCAGTCCTGCAAACACTTAAGCACACGTGTAACTTTTCTTAGGCCTTGGCTACACTGGCAATTCACAGCGCTGCACTTGCTGCGCTCAGGGGTGTGAAAAAACACCCCCCCTGAGCGCAGCGAGTGCAGCGCTGTAAAGCGCCAGTGTAATCAGTGCCTGCAGCGCTGCACGCTCTCTCACAGCGCTGCAAGCTATTCCCCTCGGAGAGGTGGAGTACTTGCAGCGCTGCAACTACACTCACGCTTCACAGCGCTGCCGCGGCAGCGCTGTGAATCTGCGAGTGTAGCCAAGGCCTTACACTAGTCCCACTGGCTTTTAGTGTTTTCTGGTCTCAAGACTTGTTACATAGCCCTTAATCAGTAGTATGTGCTCTGTTATGAACATCTGAAAACACAGTACTGAAAGTGCATATTAAAAACTTGCATATGTTATTAGCTGCAAACATAAAGATAGATGCATACACACTTCACCATCGAAAGCAGTTGTTTGGTTACAAGAATTTACCAGCTCAGCTGCTAAAGGAAAAGGAAACTGTGAAACTGACAAGCTTAACAGCTTTGAAGCCAGGTGTACTAGGGCTTTTAAGTTCAGCAAGCTGTTTTAGCTCTGGAATACAGAGATTAGGGCACCTTTTAACTCCACAAGCCCATTAACTCAGCAGCAAAGAACTTACAAGCTCAGCAACCTAAATAGTTCTGAACTGTTTCCTTTTTCCCCCCTAGAAAACCACGGAAATGAAGCACAAAAAACTGGCATTGATATATCAAGCACTCCAAAGCCACAAGGTATCCTTTCTCCCTCCGTGCTAACTTAGCAGCTACATTATTTGTAGTGTTTTTATTTCTGTTTTGCTTGTTAACATAAAATACATATGGATGTGTAACATATCCAAGAATATTGAATAAACTTTTCGCAATTTATCTGATGTTGCAACATTAATATTGCCCCAATTCAGTCAGATACTTAAGCATGAAAGTAGTCTTTTAATACCCTATTAAAAGGGAAAAAGCTATACTATTAAGATATGCAACTACTACATGATTAAAGATACCTTGCCAAGTTAGCTAGTTAATTTAAACTCATAAGTTCATAAGATAAGAATGTGCAAAAATATAGGAAGAACTGATAAATAGCTTAAAAGAAAGAATTAGCACACACACAAAGTTCAGTGTGGTTTTAAAATGCCAAAAAAAACCAACAAAAAACAAAAATCACACAGATTTTCAAATGGACATTTTCAAAAAGTTAATGTAAATAATTTGTATAGCAAGGATCCATCTGCCCAGATCTTTTAATTAGCCTCTGCAGTCTTGGGAGGTACATTAAAATGTATAATATAATTTAGAAGTATTACCTGAAATCATTTATTTGCGAATCTTAATACTGTAATTTTCTTCCTTTATTATCTTAAATGAATTTCTAAAGGGAGATACCATAAGAATTATATGGTACCTGTACTATCACTAAGCAAAATAAAGCACGTAGTACTGAGTTTGTGTTGATTTTGCTTTGTCAGAATATTATTTCTTGTTAGTTTGCAGTCAGTTTTTAATATTGTCATGCACAATGCTCTAAAATTAAAACCATTTAAAATAATCTGCACAGGGGACTTTTAAAAAATAAGAATGACCAATTATCATTCACAATGTAAGATGTAAATGTGCAGCATGTATTCAAATCGTAATAGTTGCTGAGCTAGGAAAAATGCTATAAAGAAAAGCAAGCTCCTTTTAACATGGATCATGATGTATTTGCTTTACAAGTCCTTTAGTAATTACTAAAACTCCCAATCTCTCCCTAAAGCATTCAGAACTGCTGCTTACTGGTCCGCAGACTATGTCTAAGGGGTCCAGAAAAGGCCGTTGTTACCATTAAACAGTGGTTTTCCCATCTGTGAGGTCGGCAGACCATGCCTAAGATTTCCAAAGGGGTCCACACCTCCATTTGAAATATTTTAGGGTTCCACAAATGAAAAAAAATGTTGAAAACCACTGCAATACACCAACAGATTAGTAATCTCATTGACATCGGGCAAGTGGGACAAATATGTCTAGAACTTCTATCAATGTTGATGTGGATTACTTGCTTAAGACCCTCTCTCAAAGAAAAAAAATAGACCCCCAAATTTGTTACGTGTAAGCAGTCTGCTGCATGTTACTTTAACCTCCAACAAGCATTCAAGATATACACTCCAGATAAATCTTGGTTCTGCCAAAGAGGGGGAGGGATAGCTCAGTGGGTTTGAGCATTGGCCTACTAAACCCAGGGTTGTGAGTTCAATCCTTGAGGGGGCCACTTGGGGACCTGGGGCAAAATCAGTACTTGGGCCTGCTAGTGAAGGCAGGGGGCTGGACTCGATGACCTTTCAAGGTCCCTTCCAGTTCTAGGAGATGGGATATCTCCATTAATTTAATTTAATTTAAAGAAGCCTATAATTTAATTGTACTTGTCCTAAATTCCTTCATTAACCAAACTCTAAATAGTAACTTGAAAAGCTAATTCAGGAAGATGCCTTAGAGATTAAATTAAAGGGACACTTAGCTTAGGCCCAATAATTACTTTTTACCTGACTTTTAAATATAAGCATTTTACAAAATGGATTAATAGAACCATTTTCACTAGTTACTTTTTAAATTTTGAACACTTTTGTTCTGATATTAACCATGCCTCCTTCAGTATTTGCTACCCAAACAGTGCAGCAACTCAACCTACATAAGAACAAGAAAGTGAATCTGACTAGTCTAATTTCATTGTCCACAATCAACAGAAGTGCAAAAAGTCAACTATGTAAATGGCAAAGTGTGAAGCAGATTCATTTCCAATTTAATACAAAATAAGGATCATTTTAAAATTTTAAATATGGGACCAAACATGCCCCTTCTAGGTGGCCACAATTAAAGATTAACTCCTTTTCTGTAATATATTCAGTATGTAAGTGAATATTTAGGTCCTGATCCTGCAAAAATGTTTTTAAGTGCTTAACTTTATGCATGAGTTAGTCCTACTGACTCCAATGAGACTCTTCAGGCATGCACAGTTAAGCACACTCCAGGATCAGGATCTTAATCTTTTAAACACACATGATGATAGTCTCTGTTAAAGTCACTTTAATAATCTCTTCTGTAGGAACTTGTAAAAATGTCAGTTTCAATTAGATGAAAATTTTAATTAAAAAAAGGTATAATCTTTTACTGTCAAAAACTAAAATGTTTTGAAAAGTATTTGTCAACATGAACATCTCATTTTACATACAAGGTGTACCAGATAGTATATTCTTACTAACGTTAGCCTCATGAGTTCATGCAGAAAGAAAGTAACTAATTTTGTCCATTAATTTCAAATGCCTCCTCCCTTGGGATCTCAGTACTGTATTATGACACTTTCTATATCCTACTTTCAGTTTATTAACACAGTATCATCACACATGGTGGCTACATCCACTCCATTTTTAAATTTTGTTCTTAAGACTAGGGAATTCCAATAGTTCAGTACCATCAGTTCATTAAATGCAGCTTCCAAACAAGACCATATTGAGCATCATATAAAATATTATGGGTCCTATTCTGAAAAGCACTGCGTGCCCTCAACTCCCACTGATGTCAGACCACACAATATTATAAGTCATGAGGTCCATTGTTCCTGTGAACTCCTGATATACATTCATTAAAGGAGACCATATATTATAATATATAGCGATGTTAAAAAGAGAAATCACATTTTCTATGTTTATTATAAACTCATAGCTGACTGAATTAAAAATAAAAGTATGGTGTACAGTGTGATTATGTATATTATAAAGGCACATCCATAAATATTTTCCAGGTGAAACAGGCAAGTTTAAGAGTCTGATTTTTAAGACAGTTTGCTTCAATTTTCCTAAGAAAATTACATGGTTTACATGAGCCAGGAAGCACCTCCCACGGATAATTTCCTCGCTGTAAAACAGGTAAGTCACCCTGTCTAAATCCACCTCTGATATAAAAAAGCTTTTTCCTTATTGCCAAATGTTAACCACAGCCATTATAAAACAGCCCCTGCACATTACTCTAACAAATGCATATTCTTAAGAGCCAATCTACAATACAGCCTTGAAATTTAGATAAATTGTAGTAGCATTAATTTGGAGGAACAGCTGCATTCATAAAACCTCAATATTACCAACTTCATTTTTAAAAAAAAAAAAGAAAGAAAAAGAAACTCTGATAGAGTCCTAACTGGGTTTTGTAAACTAGGAAGTTTACTCTCGAAATTCTCATCTCCACCTGGCTGAACAATGAAACCAGTTTTCTCTCCCCTCTCCTCCAACAAATACAAGTTATTATAATATATATCCAAATTTATCTGTATTCAAATAGGACCACTAGTTAAAACATTTGCCATTCTCTTCAAATAGTAAGTACAAAAAATCTCCATATTTTATTAGGCCAGCACAATCTGCAACAGAAACAATTTCACAGCTGCAGCTACTCACAAAACTTTAACTGTTTAATAACATTAACTTCAGTGGAGTTTACAAACAACAGACAGTGTACGTAACAACACTATGGAAACAGTTAGCTTAGTCTTCACTGGTCCCAGGTTTCCAGAGACAGGAGCAATAATAATGAAAGCATGAATGAAATAATTATGTAACTGCTTTGGGAAGGTAATGCAAGGTACTATAAATGCTAACTCTGTTACTGTTACTTGGGAACAAGCAGCAGCATATCTTCCTAAAGAGGGGGAAAAAACGGTTGGGAGCAAAAAGACAGACCAAAATAAACCCTCAAACCTAAAGCTTGAAGAAAATATAAGCAATAAAAGACTAGGACCCAGACCCTCAAAGGTATTTAGGCACCTAGCTCCCATTGATCTTAACTACCTTTAAGTATCCAGAAATGCTCCCTGTAGACCTACGCCTCCTCCCATTGATTAATATTAGCAATGTGGCCTAGCGGCCAAGAACTGGGCTGGGCTTCAGGAGACTTGGGTTTGATTCCCTGCTCTGTCACTGACCTGCTGGGCAAGTCACTTTATCTCCCTGTCTGTTCCCCCATCTGTAAAACGGGGATAAGAACACCAAGATCTCTGGATGAAGCGCACTACAGGATTATTACTACTGACTTAAAGGGTAAGTCAAAGTGGTAGAACTAGGCCAATGCTAGGCACCTGCCTAAATCTCATCCTAAACGTTCTTCCTCCTGTCTTAAGGAAAATCGGGATGGGGAAGGACAGAAACTGGTTTCCACCCAAACCATTCGCTTATTCTCAACCAAAAAAACAAACAAAAAAAAGTGCCATCTAGGTAGCAACACCCCAGCCCTAAGAGGGCATCCAGAAAACACCCCCACCATAAAAGGCACCCAGGCAGCGAGCCCTTTACCCCTTGCCCCAGAAGAGTGCACCTGGACACCGTCTGGCACACAACACAGGCGGGCAGCTCCGCTCCCTCGCCCCTCGGAAGTGCAGCGAGGCAGCAACCGCTCCCCTATGCCGGTCCCTCTCCCGCCCCCACTCACCGGCCGTCTCTCCGGGCGGCGCCCCCGCCACCCCGTTCAGGTAGAGGATCGAGAGCAGGTGAGGCTGCGTTTTCTCCAGGGCCACCCGCAGGTCTTGGAAATGGTCCCGATCCTTGGCCAGCAGCAGCTGGATGAGCCGGTCGGCCTTGCTAGCGCCCCCCGCTCCCCCTCCGGCGGCTTCCTGCAGCTCGTGCAGGTCGCGGGGGCTTAAGGTACCAGCAGCCTCCAGCAGCTCGATCACTTTGTCCACCTCGGTCATGGACTGGGCCAGGCTCTGGCGGCACTGAGCGAGCAGCTCCTTGTGCTTGGGCTCCATGGCCGCTGCGGGCGAGTCAGGGCAGCCAGCCGCCAAACTTTGTCCTTCTCCCCCCCAGCCGAGGAGCACCGGGCTGCCCTCCCCCGCACCCCAGGCGAGCAAAGCCACCCGCGGCTCGGTGCGCCCGGGGAGGTGCTGTCCGGCGGCGGCGCTTCACCCTTCCTGCACCGGTGGGCACCCCCTGGGCAGCTCCGCGTCTCCCCCGCCTCTGGCTACTCCTGGGGCTGCGGGCTCCTCTCCCCCGGGACAGACCCGGGCTCAGGCAGTGGCTGCGGCTCTTCTCCCCCCGCTACAGCTGACACCCGTAGTGCCGCCCGGCCGCCCAACTTCCCCGCGGCCGCCTCCCCGCTCTCCGCCGGGCAGACTCCGCCTGGGGCAGGCGCTGGAGATAAAGGCGGCTGCTCCCCCTGCAGCTACCACCCCCTAGTCCCGAGCCGCGGCTCGAACCACTTCCCTTCCCCCTGGCTACAGGCCGGGGGCCGCGGGGCAAGGAGGGGGCTGCCGGGGGCCAGGCGGCTTCAGCGCCGAGCGCCTCCTAGCACCCGCAGCCATGTTGGTTGCGCGGGGCCGCTGGCCGCCCCACGGCAAGGCTGCAGCCATGCCTCTCCCCGTTCCCCCCAGCTCATGCTCCTCGCCTCCCCCACCCCGGCCGCCGCAGGAGAACGCGCCCCCGGGGCCCGCCCAGCGCCAGGGAGGCCGAGAGCGGCCAGGTCAGCGGCGGCTGCTGCTCCTTGCTGCGCTCCTCCCAGCCCTGTGCTGGGCTCCCCGGCTAAGTTTTTCCCCCTCTGATCCCCGCAGCCTCCTCCGCCATAGCCCGGCGGCGGCGGCTGCGCTCGCCTCCGCTCCGCGGCCTCCACCCGGCTGTCAATCAGGGGCTCCCCGCCAGGCCATGTACGGGCAGGGGAGGCGGGGCTCCGACGGCAACTTCTGCCTCTCGGCGGGGCGGGGCACCTAGCACGGGGGAAGGGGAGGAGTCCTCCTAGCCTCTCTCCTTCCCCACCCCGGGAGACCAGCCTGGCTCCCCACTGCTAACTTTTCCTCCTCTCTGGCTGGGGCATCGGTTCCTGAGGAAGGGGAACTAGACACCTCCCCTCTGGCTGGGAGGCTAGCTCCTAAGAGACAAGAGACCACCTCATCAGGGGGAGAGAATCTGCTCCACAGAGACACAATGCACCTCTGGGATCCCCTCTCTCATGGGGGGAGAGAGGAAAAGCAACCAGCTGAAGGGAGGATGGGTTCCCTCTTTATCCCCTTGCCCAGGGATGGGGTAGCAGGCATGGCTTACATAAGCAGGGAATTCTGTCTCCCTGCCTGAGAGATTGGGGTGGGAGGTCCCTTCTATTCTATTCTTTCCCCACTCTGGAGCTAAATACAAACACGTAAATAAGAGTTTTTGTAATGTGTATTAGTTAATATAATCTGGACAGACCCACGTGGCCAGCTGGGATATTACAGTATGCCTTGGTCACTCAGAACTTCACAGTAACAGAGCAAACGGCTCCAACAGGCTAGGCTCCCCCTTGCAGTAAAGAAGAAACGCCATTAGCAGTGTGGGGCATATGACAAGCAGCTGGCCAGTTCTGACTCTGCACAGTAGAGAGTCATGGTGCACACATGCCCACCCCGTCATACAATATAATTCTTGCCCTTTGTTTGGTCTTTCATTGACAAGGAAACAGAAAGATTATATTTGGGAGGAGACAGTCTTCCAATTCATTCCCTCCTCCCCCCGCCCCCAAAAAAAGGATACAGAGAGAAGGTGGGGACAGTACCAAAGTAAAAAGTACGATGAAATAAACTGTCCATATACTTGAGCCAAAGATGAAAGAAAGGATTTGATTTGAAAAAGAAAAGGGAGTGTAGTCCTACATCATGTACTGAATACATTTCAAAAACAAATGACAGAGCAAAGCTCATTCAGGCACTCACAGGACAATGTATGAGATTGAGTGGATATGCCACTGCCATCTACTGGAAAGGTTAGGTCACAGCTGCTCATGCACAACTGACCAGATTTATTAGCCTATTTGGTGACACTATTAATACTGAGCAATGCAGGAACTGGAATGTCTATTGCAAAAGAAATACTGTGATTACAAGATTTGTTGTTGGTCCAAATCAGAATAAAACCAAAGATTGTTGAAGTTTCCTTGTAAAATAGCATATTCATGAGCCCTAGCGCCCCCTTGTGTCAGGGTGCAATGCTGAACGGCGCCCTTGCCTTTGGCACCTCCTGCAGGCCATCTCCCTCCATCACATCTTCTGTAGCCTGGCCTTTTGGCCAAGTGATATAAAGTTCCCAGGTAACAAAAGGTCCCAGCTAAACTTCCAAGAACCTCTTCCACCCCTCTCGGGTTCTACTGCAGTGTTCTTACTGGCCCTCCCTCAGGCCTCCCCACAGGATCCTCATCTGCTCCTGCAGTTGTGCTTGCATTCTCCTGCCTCAGGGGCTGGTAGGGGAACCCAGGTCGACTGGCTGCTCTGAGTTCTATCCTAGGGTCCCTGATTAAGCAGTCAGGTCTGTTTCTTGAGAGGTGGTGCTGTTTCCCTAGGCCACTTCCTATCTCTAAGCCCCCTTGTACTGTTTACCTGCAGCCTGTGCTTAACACAGCCTCCCTTTGGTTCTCAGGCCTCTGGCTTCCCCCTTCTCCTCTGAACTAATAAATCTTCCATCCTGCTCAGGCTCCACTAAAGTGCTTTTACAGGGCCTTCCAACCAGCAAAAGAGTCCTTCCTTCTCTGCAATTTCTTTTCCTCTAGACTGAATTCTCCACTTTACTATGTAAGTAGTCCTTCCTGATTCCCAGTTGTTGGGGTTACTATTCATCATTAAGACAGGTTTCAGAGTAACAGCCGTGTTAGTCTGTATCCGCAAAAAGAAGAACAGGAGTACTTGTGGCACCTTAGAGACTAACAAATTTATTAGAGCATAAGCTTTCGTGGACTACAGCCCACTTCTTCGGATGCATATTCATCATTAAGTTGCCCTATCACTAGGGATCTACCAAATTCAGGGTCCATTTTGGTCAATTTCACGGTCATAGGATTTTAAAAATCATAAATTTCATGATTTCAGTTATTTAAATCTGAAATTTGACAGTGTTGTAATTGTAGAGGTCCGGACACAAAAAGGAGTTGTTGTGGGGGGGTCACAAAGTTATTGTAGAGTGGGGCTCCTCCAGAGCTGGGCAGCAGCAACACAGAAGTAAGGATGGCATGGTATGGTATGCCACTCTTACTTCTGTGCTGCTGGTGGGGCACTGCCTTCAGAGCTGGGCGCCCGTTGTTACCTGATTTGCCCATTACTTTGGAGTATGCTCATTTATTCGGGTTACTTTTCTGGGGAAGGGGATTTTGTAATCCTATCAATGTATTGCTTGTGTCACTTGTGTTTTCATATGGAGCTCTACTTCTCTCTTGTGCAAGTCCCCTCCCAATGGAGCTATCCTGCAGGACCTAGGTTCCCTAGGGCTGGGTTACTCCAGCCCCAGAACCAGATGAACACACACACACACACACATACATTAACAGAGCAAGTCTGAACGGACCGGGTCAATCAGCACTGTCAAGCTGACCCCCTTATATGTCTCTGGACTCACTGGGCTGGAGGAAGCAGCACTTTCAAGCTGTCTCTCCTTATATGCTCCTGGGCTCCATGGACTGGGTCAAGCAGCACTTTCAAGCTCTTACCCTTATGCGTCCCAGATTCAGCACGCCCCTATCCCCACCTTCACATCACAATTGTACTGGCAGTAACCTACTTGATGAGCAAACCCCACAGTATTTTGGGCGCTGCAGGGATCTTTAGCTCAGGTAAAAGAAGCGTTGCTGTAGAGTGAATGGGGGAAGCTAAAATACAAACGAGTAAAGTTCAGCAAGAGAGAGAGAAGCAACCAACTTAACCATAAAAGTTATTTATTGAATAATAGTGATAACTACACAAGGACTAAACCAACATAACATACCTGATTAAAGGCTAATACCTAAGGTAGACAGGAAAACGAAGAGAGAGAGAGAAAGAGAAGGGGGTCTCACCGCTCCCTGAAGCTTGAACTGGTCAGGGTTCCCAAATGATGGTGGTAGCTGAGGGTCCTGAAGGCAAGAGGCAGGCAGAGTCCCCAGCACGATCAGTCAGGAGAATATGGATTCCCAGTGGAACTGATACCTAGTTTGGATCTAAGCATCAGAACACTGACTGGAGGGTGTGTAGGGATTTTTGTAGAGAAATTACAATTGTTCAAGGGAGAACACTAGATTTGTTTATAGATAAGCTGATGACTCAAGGGTTTTCTTTAGGCTAGACAATAGGAGCTGATCACTCTTGGCTATGGGTGGTGTTTTCTTCCAGGGAGCTCACAATGCAACTAGGCTGCTTCAGTATTTGGATATCAATTAAGGATTCATTACTAGAATTGGTCTGATAATTGCTGAGCTGGGTGTATGCAGACATAGGTTCATTAGCATCTGGAGCAGAGATTCCCATGATGCAGTGCTTCCCTGCTTTTTCTGGTCCCAGAGTTCAGTGTGGTTCTCTGTTCTCCATTCTGTATGTAAATTGAGATGTCTTCCTGTCCCATCTTTCATGCAGATGAGGCTAGGGGAGTTGTCTATGCTCTCCATTCTGTATGCTAATAGAGATGTCTTAATCTTGTCACCCTTGTCAGGAGGGGTCTAGGTGTGTCTCCCAACACCCTTCACTGCCCTCTGCAAGTTTTTTCCTCTGATGGGTTTTGGTTTAAGCAGAGGCTGGGGCGGGGAGTGTCTTTCATGAGTCAGGCTGGATACTGCACCCTGGTTCCCCAAGAACACAGAGGTGTCTGGTATCACCGTCCACCAGCCGCTGCTCTCCAGCTACCCAGCTCTGAAGGCAATGCAGAAGTAAGGGTGGCAATACTGCAAACCCCTAAAATAACCTTGCAACTCCCTTTTGGGTCAGGACCCCAAATTTGAGAAATGCTGGTCTCCCCCATGAAATCTGTATAGTATAAGGTAAAAGCACACAAAAGAGCAGATTTCATGGTGGGAGACCAGATTTCACAGTCTGCGAGGCATTTTTCATGGCCCTGAATTTGATAGGGCCCACCATCAGCTGGGGGATAGCTGGTAAGCTGAGCCTGGCTTCTCTTAAAGTGCCAGGCTTTCTGTGACATTCCTGCAAACCAAAATTTTCTAAAAAAGTTAATGTTGGATCAATCAGCGTTTTGTTTTGATAACATTGTTCAATCATTTTATTTTTATTTTATTGTATTAATTTTATATTATAGCTTATCATATAAAATAAATATCAAAACAAAAAAAGTTGTTTCAAAACTGAAGCTCGGTTCTGACCTCTCTGAAATATTTTTTTCCAAAATGAAATTTTGTTAAATTTAAGACATTCCTGGAAAGCATTTAGATTTAGATGAATCTGCATTTTCAAATGGAAAAGCTTTCCATCATAAAATTTTCGAACAGCTCTGATTAATACTTTACATTTACATATTATCTTTCAACCCAAATATTGTTATTAATAACATCCATACTGTGGGGGGGAAAACCCAACCTGTGGCAGCAAGTCTCAGAGCCCAGGTCAACAGACTTGGACTCGCACTACAGAGCTAAAAATAAAAGTATAAACGTTTCTGCTCGGGCTCTGAAACCTGGCAAGGGAGGTGGGTTTCACAGCCCGAGCTCCAGCCTGAGCAGGAACATCTACACTGCTATTTTAAGTCCTGTAATGTGAACCCAAGTCAGTTGACCTGGACTCTGAGATTCACTGCAGGGGGGGAGGGGTTTGCACTGTAGATGTATCCATAGGGATCACTTTAGTCACCCATAAAATGCTGCTTGCTGTAGGATGAAACATAGCAGCTGTGTAACAGCAATAGTACTGTACACAATACTTTAGCCCAGAAGGTGAAAGTCAAGCAGAATATTATTAGTTATTTAGGACTAGATTCTGAAACCATCACTTGAACTGACTAGTACCTTACTTTGCAAGAAGCCGGTGAAACATGTCATGGGATCTTTAATGACCATAAGTGGTCATGACCTCAGGTTTATATTTTATCTGAAAGACAGCACCTTCCCCGGAGTAGTGCCCCTGACAGCATGCTATGACATTGTATGTAGTTTAGCCAATGGTAGTGTTGTTTTGTTCTATAAAAACGGTATGACTTGTATTGTTGCCCTTTGCCATACTTGAATTAGTGCAGATAGAAATGGAATCAGAGATTGTGACAATTGTCTAGACTTAAAAGTGACAATGCAATCTTGTATCAGAGGGGTAGCCGTGTTAGTCTGAATCTGTAAAAAGCAACAGAGGGTCCTGTGGCACCTTTGAGACTAACAGAAGTACTGGGAGCATAAGCTTTCGTGGGTAAGAACCTCACTTCTTCAGATGCAAGTTTTAAATACTGCAATCTTGCAGTATTTAAAAGGACATCCCTGTGCTTTTAAATAGTTTCCATTCATGTTTGTGCCATTGTTTGTAATCTACACTTAGGAGTTTGAAAATAAAATGTTTTTCCTTTTCTGATTTAGATTTCATGCTTAGCAAACATATTTATGCTCAGCAAATGGAAATGCGCATGATGATTTTGTTTACCTCCTTGTTTATACTTCAACATCTTGAATCATCCCTGGTAATGGTGTTAATCCCCAAATAAAAATCTTTGTTTGCTAACAATTAAGGTTGTGAAGTGCTACTACAAACATGTGCAATTACATGTATTATTTAAAAGAAAACAAAATTTAAAACTATGGAAAGTTGCCCAATAAGGTTAAACATGCAATTCGGACATCAAACCTAATAACTGCATTCATTAACACACAAACTGCAAATTTCCATCAGTATAAAAACAAAATAACCTTAAATCTGTCCCTGTAATGATGCAGTCTACAATATTACCTTCCTTAATCCTTTCATACCTAGGGCCTGACCCTAAAAACAATTCATAATACTATTTAAGGTTAGCAAGGTGAGGCACCCATATTGTAAGGTCAGTTACATTTTGATGATGGATTTCTTTTAAAGGGCTGTAAAACTGTAGTTGTGGTCAAACAGCATTTTAAAAAGGTTTTACCATTCCCATCCTTCTATCTCTCTGTCCTTAGAAACAGTAGAGGGAGCTAAGATGGTGATGGTTTCGTCTTAAATTTGTTACTCAGATTCTCTAAGTGATATTCATACAGTAAAAAGTTTCTCGATCCATTTGTATAAAAGTTGGATTTTGACCATGGCTAACGCGTCTGCTCTTACGAAAACACTGTAGAATCTCTAATTACCAAATGAGGTCATGATCTCAGATTTATATCTTATCTAAATCACATATCTTCTCTCTCACCCCCGTGGCACTATGCAGATAAATTGGTCTCAGTAATGATATGGAAAGAAGACTGCCACCTCCATACTAGGTATTCTTATTCTAGGTCCTGACATAATATTGTATTATTACTTTCTGGTGACAGAGTATTAGATGAACCACAAAAACTAATGGCTTGATTTTCAGAGGTGCTGGTCACCCACAAATCCAGTTGAAATCAATATGAGCCAGGGGAGCTCAACAAGTTTGACCACAGCTAATGTTTAGAAACTGGAAAAAACAATCACATTATGATGTTGCATTTGGGGCTTAAATTATTTTGACCATCTCAAAATAAATATATGTAAAGTACAGTCATCAGTTGTTCTCGCTGGAGACTATTCTGATGTTAATGTTACTAAACAACAATACAAATTAGGGTGAGGACTGGATTCAAATCTAAGAGAAAACTGTTGAGTTCCTGCTAAAAATCTGGGCTAGCTCATGCAGCTGAACCCTTTTTCAAGAGAGTATTGTGAGCTGAAAGTTGGCCTAGATATAACTTTGAAAATCATGCCTGTTGTGGACGTCAATCAGACCTTTAACATTACTTTGACAATATTTGTAGGTGGTTAATTTCCTGATGTTTTTCTTTTTGCAATTTATAGAATCTGCCATATTTAGGGTTACTGAAGACTGAATTTACCAGGATTGTTTCACCTTAGAAGAGGAATGCCAGTATCTTGGCACATCGAGCCAGGTGGCACTTAATCTGCAAAAAGGCTATGTACCTTTGGGATTTGCCATGATGATGATGGTCTTGTTGATGATGGAGGGTTCCCAGCCCATTGGATTGAATCTGGTATTCTGTCCACATTTAAGTGAATGCCGTGGTGTCTTGTCATTCCAAGGATCACCCACTTGTCTCTTCAATTAGTGCTAGTGTGCATGCCTTACATAAGCCTCCAGGTTGCTCTTTTACATTGATTACCAGTCACCACTAACTGCATGGAAATCACCCCCACTTCTGGCTACAGCAGAAAGGCCTAAGGACTACAGTTAATCCTAGGGTGAAATCATGGAGCTTTTGAAGTCAATGGGAGTTTTGCCATTGATTTCAGTGAGGCCAGGATTTCAGGAATAGATTCTTCAACTTTGTGATGTGTCAAGGGAAGTGAGAAGGGAATGGGTGTGACATCTGGAATAGGAAGAGAGAAAAAAGGACAAAGCACAAGAGTACAGGGGATATAGGGTCTGATCCAAAGTCCACTGAAATCAGTGAGAGTCTTTCCACTGACTTCATAGGAGTTTAGATCAGGGCCATAGACAGAAGGAGAAGAGCAGGAAATCAGGTAGAGTTTGTACCTGGGCTGTGGGGAAACAGAGAGAGATAAATGGCTAAAATGGAAAGGCCTGTAGGAGACAGGGGAAGCATTTACAGGAAAGGGTGGGAGAATCTGCCTAGCAGTGGAAGGGATGGAGATAACGGGGAGGGGGGGAGATTAAAGGGTGGATCTGGGATAGAAGAAAATGATAATGGGTGCTTGGATTTGCAGTTTGGGTACATTGGTTCAAGAAAGTTCAAACCAGGGGCACCAAATACGCAATTATGGAGTATTAGAATTAGGCTTTAACTGGAGACTGTAGTTATTCCACTTGTGTTACCCGAGTGACGTCAGTAGGAGTTTGGGATGTTAAATTGCTACTGGTTCTGGCATATATACAGCTGCGCAGTTGTAAGGTGTGCTGTATATATATGTAGAAACAGCCTTAATCTCTTCTGTGAATGTATAGTGATAGAGGCTGTGCATTCTAGAGAAACATCTCTGAGGAGCTCAGGGGCTGGAGTTCACTGATTGCTACCTGCTAGGCGAGGTTTTGGCAGGAGGAGCTTTGAGGAGTTTGCTGGAGGAGGAAGACAGACTGGTGTGGAAGGAGTGGACACACAGTCTAATCACCAGCAAAACTCAGTCTGGTAACACAGTGGCTCAGAGCTCTGTCTGTCCCCAGCAGCATGTTACAGGGGACCTGATCAGATTAGCATGTTGAGAAGTACAATTGCTTTGTCTTGACTACTGTTTTAGAAGGTGTTAATTAGACAGGGCTATCTCTCGCCTTTAAATCCTACCCTACACCACACCTTCCCTGTTAGCTGATTGCCCTGAACCAGAAGCAGCGCCTTCTCTCTTGTCCCAGTCCTGGGTTTATCAACAAGGGAGGAGGGGGTTAATCCACAGCTTTTTGCTGCTCATCAGATAACGCTCATTATGCAAGCAGCAATAAGAGCATTCACACAGGATGGTGTGTGGCCGTCAATGTGCATCTCTGTGTACACATGGCTGTAGTTTGCTGTGAATTGAGGGCATGACAGTATCTTGGCAGTATCCCATACTCCTTTGCTGGCTGCTGAGCAGTGTGCATTCTGGGATTTTCTTGCTGTGCACTGTGGATAGTAGAAGACAGACTAGTTCAAATTTTTTAAAAGTCCCATGATTCACCTGTCTCCATGCTGTATATGCTGGATGGGCAGGCTAGCGCCATTTTCAAATTGCACCACTATGCTGACAACCTCTGATACCCAGAATACCCAGAGGCTTCTTGGGCTCTGTTTCTGCACTCAAAGCCAGATGAATTTGGGTTGTAACTTCACCTGCAGCACCACCAAGCAGATGATGTGGCAGCAACAGCAGTTCCTCCAGCAGCAGGAGGGGCTTCGGTGGTGGTGGAACTAGGACATGGGCAAGGAAGAAGAGGAACAAACTTAGCAGCTGGTAGTGGAGGACCAAGTCCTGAAGCAGCTTCACAGTATGCAGTGCCGTTTCTGGGCTTGGGAAACCAGGACCGACTGGTGGGAAAGGCTTGTTCTGCAGCTCTGGAATGACCAGCAGTGGCAAGAGACTTTCAGGATGGGGAAGATAACCTTTTTGGAGATTGTGCTGAACTAACCCCTGAGCCACAGTGGGAAAGTACCAACACGTGGTGCCCCATATCCATGGACAAGCGGGTTGCAGTTGCCATCTGGAAGCTAGCCACCCCCGAATGCTGCCATCTGTAGCAAACCAACTTGGCATGGGATGATTGACTATTGGGACCATTGTCATGCAGGTGTGTGCTGCCGTGGAAAAGGTACTGTGGCACTGGGTAATGCTCAGGAGATTACTGATGGCTTTGCACACATGGTGTTCCCAAACTGTATTGGGACAATTGATGGGACCATGTGCCTCTTATTTGCTTCCCACATCAGGACTCAGAATTCATAAACAGAAAGGGGTATTTCTCTACAGTGCTCCAAGGCTTTATCAACCACTGTGGCACACTTTTAGACATAAATGCTGGATGGTCTGGAAGGGTCCAGGACGCTGGGATATTTTGGAATTCAGCTCTATTTAAATTAGCAGAGAAAGGTCTGTTTGCCCCTGGGATCACAAGGGACATTAATAGTGTGGAGATTGCTCCAGAGCTGGAGTCTGGGAGAAGAATGCCTTCTGGGAGCAGGGATTACCGCAGGGAGGAGTTTCTGTTGTTCCCAGTAGTCCATATTGCCCAGGGACTGCATAACATGGCTGGGGGCTGGTTAGCAGTACTGCATTGCCTGCTGCCCTAATAGCACTATGTGTTGCAACAAGGCATTTTGGCTTTGTACTGGTTCCAGGAGTTGCCTCTGCATTTCCCTCTCTTTTTCCAAACTTTCTTTGGCCATGGCAATGCTTTCTCAGGCAATGGCCATGCTGCCCTTTGCCATTGCAAGCATCTCCATGGAAAGCTCCTTCTCAAATTCCCTCTCAGTCCTCAGATATTGCCTCCACCTCTCTATATTTTGGGGATTTGGGGGGTGGGGTGGGGTGGGCTGGACTTTAATGATTTCCATGAACATTTTGTCCAAGTTTTCCATTTTCTCCCCCTCAGGATAGCCAGCCACTCCGCCATTGAAGGACCTTGTCCTTCAGGGTTTGGCCATGTAGATGTCGTAGCTGTAGAGGGGTATTTAAAAAATTACAAGCAGTTATTGCTTATGTTCTAGGAAGGCTGTGATAGCATTTTTTACATGGATTTCTGCCTTTACCTCCCTGAGATTCTTCCCAGTCTTGGGGGACCCTCGCAGATGGTAAGTGGTGTGTGCACTGGGGTTTTTGTCTGTGCAGTCAATGTTGTGTGGCTTTGCCATCGTACCTTGGAAGCTAGGGGGGATGGCGTTGGGAATTATGTTCCTGGTCTGTCTTTGCAGTTTTACTGTCCTTGGAGGTGTTCATATGGTGGCAGATGGGTTTGCAGGGTGAATCTGGGGATAAGGTGGATAGTAATCCCCTCTGCATCCCTGTTAGGCTGTTCTGTTATACTGAGACTGGTGACTAGGAAGCAAAGAATTGCCTTATTCAACAAGGCAAAGCATGGACCAGCAAGATACGCTGTCAAGTTATCCCTCAAAATGGTCCTTCCAGAAGTTCTGCAGGAGTGGAAGGGAATTATTAGCTATACCGGTAGGGAAAGCTATGCAGCTAGTCCTCATAACCTCCAAACAAAAACTGAGCCATTTCTCAACCTTATATTTTGCTCAGACATGTTGAAAGTGCAGAGAGGAATAGATAAGGGTCTGCAATGATGGCCTGGAGCATTCCCTGTTACCATTCTGTTAGCGTGCATGCTACAGGGCATTTACAGGGAAGCTATATTCTTTTACGGTCATGCAATTTCCATGTCTCCCTCATGTGCAGTAAGAACACCAACCACACTTCTTTTCCTGTAACCGCTGTCTCATTAAACTTTTGCACAAAAGAATGTTTTCCTTATTCGAATCTGCTGGGGGCGGGGGAGGAGGGTAGAGGTCGTGGCTTCACCATGCTGCCAACCACCATTTTGAGGTGGTGAAACAGGATTTTTAGTGGGGTGCGGGTGGCAGTGTTTACTGGGCAGGAATAGTGAGGGAAGGGGAAAGGAAAGCAAAGCATGCAAGCACGTGGGCCTATGCCTGAAAACAGTTGGCAGCAAGGGATTTAGCCCATGATTGCCCTGCCCGAGCAGCCATCATTTTGGAAAGGTGTACGGGGAAGGAAGGAAGCGCAAATAGACAGCATGGATTGATGGAAGGAGGAAGGCAGGGACCATGGACCCGGAAAGATGTCTAGTTCACATCCACCTACAATGTCTGCAGCCTTAGGGCAACTGGAACAGAAGCTAGTATAGCATAAGAACAACAAATCAAAACAAACAGCATACTATTAACCAAATTTACATGTGGAGGGATGGTTGCTACAGGGCAGGAATTGGGCTTGCGTTCTACCTGGCCAACATCAGGGTGCTGAGTCCCAAAGAGGTCCAGGCTTTCCAGGGATATTTCTTCAGTGGCGTCTTTGTGTTCATCATCTGATTAATCTTACAGGTCATCCTTTTGGGTGTGAGGAATTGGGGAGGGGAAGGGGGAAGAGAGGCTCCCAGCCCCAGTCTCCCCATACCTGACTCAATCTCCTAGCCGAACCAGTCCCAATCTCTTCTAACACCAACTCCCAATACTTCTCTCCCCCTGCCTTGGCTCTTATCCCCTCTGCTTCCTCCTCCATGCTGCCTGGGCCCAGCAGGGGATCATTAAGAGCACAGGAAAGACAGGCTCTTTGCTCTCAGTTCTGGTGCCCAGTCTGACCTGGACCCAGCACAGCCTGGAGTAGTAAATGCAGGGAAAGTCCTGCTAAGCTCCAGGCCCAGTGTGAATGGACACTCTGTGGAATTAAACTGCACAGCTCTAGCAAGTCCCAACTGAGCATGTGCAAAGTGCAATTTTTCAAATTCTTATTTTGTCAAATGTGGTTGGATTTTCACAGGGACAATAGAAGGCATATCCCTGACAAAAAGGCCATTCCCCACCTTCCAAATTCAAGTCCCTGCTTCAAAGCATCGGGGCTATAGGCGTGCGCAGTCATTTCATTAGGGTGTGCACCCAGGGAGCCCTGCCCTAGCCCCACCCCCATCCGCTCACTCCTACTTCCCACCCCCTGACTTCCCTCCTCAGAACTTCCAACCCCTCCTGCTCCTTGTCCCCTGACAACCCCCTCCTGAGACCCCTGCCCCTAACTACCCCCTCCTGGGACCCCTGCCCCTACCTAAGCCTCCCTGCTCCTTGTCCCCTGACTGCCCCCCTAGGATCCTACCCCGTACCTGTCCCGACCCTTATCCACACCGTTGCCCCCAGACAGACCCCTAGGACTCCCACACCTATCCAACTGCTCTGCACCCCCTGACAGGACCCCCAGAACTCCCAACCCATACAACCCCCCTGCTCCCTGCCTTCCCCAACCCCTCTCCACACCCCTGCCTCCCCCCCAGAACTCCTGACTCATCTAACCCCCCCCCAGCTCCTTGTCCCCCTGACCACTCCCTCCAGAGACCCCCCCCCACTAACTGGACCCTCCTTGCTCCCTATCCCCTGACTGCCCTGACCCCTATCCACACCCCACCCCCTGAGAGACTCCGGGACTCCCATGCCCCATCCAATTCCCCCTGCTCCCTGAACTGCCCCCTTCAGAGCTCCCCCGCCCCTAACCACCACCCCTCGGGATCCCACCCCCTATCCATCCCACCCCTCACTGCCCCCACCCCTTATCCAACCCTGCTGGCCTCGGACTCCTTACCATGAGATGAGGCTCACAGCCTCCCCGTGGAGCCAAACGCTGCCCTGCGGGAGCACGCAGCCCCAGCCCCCAGAGCGCTGCACACATGGTGGCATGGCTCCAGGGGAGGGGGAAGCGTGTCTGCCTCACCGCAGAGCCAAACGCTGCCTCACGGGAGTGCACAGCCCCGGACCCCAGAGCGCTGTGCGCGCGGCAGCCTGGCTCCAGGGGAGTGGGGAAGGCGGGGGGAGGGGCCGTTGGCTTGCTGCGTTTGGCCAGGCGCTCTGGCCTGGGAGCGCGGACCCCTCAGTTTGCTGCACCGGGGAGTGGAGCCATTTGCCCACCCCTGCACTAATGTGAGCCTGGGCCCACCCGGCACACCCCGTGCACACACCTATGATTGGGGCATTAGATCTTCTCAAAGAAAAGGTCACCAGAATTCTTTTAACATGGGCAAAACAAAATATTTTCCTTAGACTTGTTCTTGGAAACAGCTGGATCATTTTGGCTGAAATGCCCCTGTCCTCCTCCCCATGACCCCCCCAAAAAAGGAAAGGAAAGAAAGACCTGATGCAGATACCCAGTATGTAAAATTTCAGCCCAAATAGTTAGAATTTGAGGGTCATAAGCATCTGGAAACAGGATCTTATAATGGGAAGTGTCAAGCTCCCTTAATAAAAAGGGGTGTACCTGCCCTGCCTATAATAATCGTGGATTTCTTGTCTCTCTAACAACCTGGAGCAATTTGTGGTGTTCTGGAAAAATGATTTTCTTAGGTTGGCTTTTTTCATGTTTTCCTTTTTCAGAAAGAAAAATAAAAGGGTTACATTAATGTTTCTATCTAGGTATTTATGAAGCTCCTCAAAACTGGTAGCTGGATGTGAAATAAAAGGTTAAGGGAGCACAATTAAAAAAATTGTGAAGGGCTTTGGGAGAGATTTTCAAAGACAATTTACAATTTTAAAATTATTGCAAGACCCCTAATTGCCAGTTGTGCCTTTGAAAATACAAAGGGGGGGATTTAACATGGAGATTATTGTAGCCTGATTAATTTTTAGTTATGAGATTATTTATTAGAGAACAACATGCATTTGTCACAGATGACAGTTTCTTTTACAGGCTGCTATTTAGAGTTAATTGAGAAGATGGAATCTGGTGAAATACACAAACTTTATGAGCTTTAGTTAATATAGGCAAATATGTTAATTCTAGGATTTCAATTATAATATACATAAGTATAAGATCAGTACAGTAAAGTGGTTTCCTGCATTGTGTATACTTACGACTTTATGGAGACCACTAGAAACAAAGATGAAAGGAAAAGTAATTGGAGGCTATCAGAAGCAAGGTCCTGATTCAGTTTGCACTATCTCGGGGACCCAACGAACCTCATCCTTTGCATCCCCAGCTTTATGTAACCAGTTAGCTATTCAACCATATTTAATCATCTTCCGTGACCGTAACAGATTATACCTGCCCATCATTCATAAGTGGCATTCGGGGTCCACAGCCACACCTCTAGTAATTAATAACATCAGTTATTTCTTAATAATTCCTATGTTATTGTGGTTTAAGTGCCTAGTAACCAGATTGCTACAGCCCCCTCCAAAAAACTACACCCTTTTTTATTTTTGAAGAATTCTGTAGTGTACTGTACTGTTTGTAGTTACTTGTTTGTCTGTTCAAATGAGAGTGCAGAATTTATGATCTGGGCTTGTTTTCTTGGGCCCCTCAAGTTTTAGCTAAAATTCAACCTTTTAGCATGACTACTCCCACAAGTCCTCATACTAATAAAACAGCCTTTAGCCAGAGCAAATCCAATTATTTCTATTTTCCTATTTGCTGTTACAACTTTATAACTTTCATTATTATTCCTATAAGCATGTTTAGCAAATAAATTAAATTATATTTTACTCAAAATTATAAACCCTCTATGATCAGGTTGGGGATCAATGGTCAACATTATTGTAAAATAATTTTAAAGCTCTTGTCCTGCAAAATGCTCTGGGATGTCGCATTAAACACCCTATTAAAAATCAGCAGTTTGCAGGACAGAAGTGTTAGGCCTTGTCTACACTATGAGTTTAGTTCGAATTTGGCAGCGTTAAATCGAATTAACCCTGCACCCATCCACACAACAAAGCCATTTACTTCTAAATAAAGGGCTCTTAACATCGATTTCTGTACTCTTCCCCGACAAGGGGAGTAGCGAGAAGGGAAAGATGCCAGTGAACGTGGGATGAGGGATGCTCAAGGTGAGAGGTGGCAGG